CTCCTAAATCAGCCCCTGCTCAATAAACTTAGCATGAATGGTACATATAATGCTCACGAGTATTAAAATGAATTATTCACTTGTTTTCTTCTTCACAGCGTGCAGTTCCATATAGCGGCCGCGTGCATTAGAAAGGTTTACAACGGTTGCGTGAAAAATGCTCTCAATCAGAGTGAGGCTGCAGCTATACTCGATCAATTTGTCACAGAAAGCTCTTTATGTATCGAGGGTCCTCTAGATCTTCTTGGCAACCCTAGAAGGTTTGCCTCTCAAGTGAATTTGACGTGTAACGACGCCTACAATCAGGGAGCTCCTCTGTGTGGAAAGATTCTTAAGGAGATGTTTGTTGCTAACCGAGCGGACACGTCACTCTGTAGGTTAGTTTGTCACGCACCCAAGTCTCTGTCGCGCAGCGCTCTCTGTCACGTAACGCTACGCTCTCGGGAGCGAGGAACGCTCTCAACGCTAAACCTGTTGAATATTGTTGTAAGTTAATATAATATTAAGATTAGAATTTTAGTTTTAGGATCTTAGACATTATATTGGAATTTATTGTACCTGATGAATTTTTACCGTACATAAATAATGATTAAAGATTCAAGATATGTTCTCAGTTGAGAAGGACCTTCTCTCCCGAAAACGTAGCACTCCCCTGATTGGGTGACAGAGAGAGGGCCAGGAACTGGGCTAACAAAGAGTACCAAAAGAGGCTGAAAATAGTCACATGACCAGAGGTTATGTATGGGACCGGGGGGCTGGAATTTCAGTCATCAACTCAGCAAATTTTCTGGGAATTCTTAGCCATCAGTTAAAATTTCTTCCCATTTTCAGCTCTAACCAGCTCTCTGTAAATCTTGCACATTAAGCTAGCAGTTAAAAACACGCGTAATTTCTCAGCTGGTGGTTAATAAAGATTTCAGTTCCTTAACTCTCCCTTCCCTGCAGGGGTTAAACCCAGGGCGGGTGCATGGGCGCGGGCATATGGACTCTCTTCTCCACTACTGCGTTCAAACCCGGCACAGTGCGGTGAAGGGAGAGTTCATCGACTGGGCAAGTAGTTCTCAAACTCTTTAATAATTCTTCAAGTTGAAACAAAGGAAATCATGATCATACGGTGTTTGGATATCTGATTTTCATTAGCATTGATTTTTACGATTTTATTTCTCAGTTTTCCCCTTGGATTTAGTTTCGGATTAATTGAGAAGATATCTAAAAAAAACTTAAGACAGTGTTTGACCACATTTCCAAACACCTCGAATTTCGTCAAAAATATTCCTCCAGGCATCGAATTTCAAACTCTCTTCTCCATGTTTGGAAACTTGATCAAACATGTCCTCTCGTGTTGGATCAAGAGATAGTCTCTTGGGTTGATATATTACTTAAAATATCAGCCAATTAAGTAGCTAACAGTTTAAGCCTCATCTAGACCTTTTAGCCACTAAATTTGATTGTGTCTTTCCTAATAGTGAATACGCCAAAGCAAAGAAGTGTGTCAGAGATCTGTTAACCGCTCAATGCACGTTTACCTCTCAGGACGGAGAAGCTTTCGATTTTCAGTATGATGACTACAATCCATTCTGTGCCAACAACCGGGACCCTGGGGCAACCGGAAGTACCCAGTGCAGCGATTTCCTGCTTGATCCTACCCCGACTGCTTCCCCGACCGTAATCCATTGAAGTAAGAGTGAAGTCACTTCCGTGAAGCAATTTACTTTGCTCTATTCAGTTGCAATGTGCTTTTTTCTCACGTAAGTAAGATAATGGTGCTCAACTCCCAAGTAAGGTTAGATTAAGGGCACGTCTCTACCTCACGTTTAAGCGCGCTGCTGTTTTGACAATGTATTAAATCAATAGATTATCAAGGTAATCTCTTGATTAAATAAAAAGTAACGTTTAAAATATATTAAAAAGGTATCAGTAAATGTAATTAATAGCTATAAAACGCGCTCATAAAAATTAAATGCAAACGTGGGTGTACATACAAGATGACTCAGCTCAAAGATGTTGTCAGCGCTTAGCCAGTACTTTTCGCTGGAAATAAAATTGCTGCAATACACAAAGTGTTTGTTGTTTGAATCGATTAGACGATGTTCGAAATGTTAGGTTACACGTGATGTGTAACCTAACGAGGAGGTTATGTATTATAAAATGCGCAAAAAAAAGTAACGATAAGTTTGGTCGGAATT